CAAAATGTAAATTTTCAGTTTCCTAGGACTCCCAGGCCATGGAAGTTACCAAACTTTGGCAACTATTTTTTACCTTTGAAACCAGGTTCCCTGACCTCTAATAACGAAGACAAATAAACAGGCTTTAAAATGATACCAACAACCTCACAAAAATTGACGGCCGCCTGATTCCAGCACGTTGTGACACAATTATTATGTTCTTTCTTGTATAGGTAAGGCAATGCACGGGCTGACGTCTATACCAATAACTCTATATGCCCCCCTCCCCCAATGACAGATCAATATTCCTAACTTGAAAAATTCTTGATTTCAAAATCATGAATATCCAGCTCCGTCAAGTTCTTGGGAGTGTTGAATTATTTTTGCAGGTAGGCCTATAAACTTATGTGAGGCATCATGGTGAAATCAGGCGCTCGTCAAAATATTGAAATAAAAGAAATCAGCATTTTTTGGCCGATGAGCAATTTTTTCTTAATTTCTTTTTTTTTGTTTGGCTCAACACCTTTTATGTCCATTTAAAAACACATTCTGAAACACGATGATTAAAGGCAAACCCCTCCCCCCCCCCCCCCCCCCGTACATTTTCAGTTTCCTAGGAATCCCAGGCCAATGAAGTTACCTAACTTTGGCAGCCATTTTTTACCTTTGAAACCAAGTTCCCTGACCTCTAATAACGAAGGCAAATGAACAGGCTTTAAAATGACACCCACAACCTCACAAAGATTGACGATGCCTGATTCCAGCACGTCGTGACAAAATTACTATGCTCCTTCTTGTATCGGTAAGGCAAAGCACGGGCTGACGTCTGAACTTCAACACCCAACCTGTGCACATTGTCAGGAACTGAGTTTGTCTTTGATAGAATGAGAGACACAACGACACCTGAACATAAACTACCAACCTGTATACATCATCACGAATAGAGTGTGTCTTCGATAGAATGAGAGACACAATCGATGCGAATTCGGAGCCTTCCTCGTGGTTGAAGGAGCAGTTGATGGTCAGGTGGTCTGTGAATCCTTCATGTAGCCTGAGGTCAGAAGCTTTGATTTCGACTCCACCATTAACAGCAGCAAAGGGCGAACTCGCCGCTATAGGATGACTATCTGCTCCTGAAGAAGAACACACACAAACGGATAATAATATTATGCTAACCTGAATACTGTTTGATTCTACATTTACTGCCATCTCCATGTTTCCTTTTCAAGTTATGCAAGGTAAAGTTTTGTTCTTGTTTTTTTTGTTTTTGCTTTGCTTTGTTTTTGTTTCGTTTTGTTGTTTTTTTGTGGGGGTTTTTTGTGGGGGGAGGGGTGTCTGTGTGTGTGTGTGTGGGGGGGGGGGGGAGGATTCATCCTATGTTTACCTTACACCAAAAATACAAGGTAAAGTTGTTAGGATGAAGGTAACTCTCTTGTTGTAAAGCATAAAGTATATATAATCAAAATTAATCTTAATTAAAGTTTCCTGGGTTTAGCATAAGGGATCTGATTGAGAGATATAAGGTGACCTAATGCTCTTCTTATTTCAGTTTTAAGACTCCACTGATAAAACGGGCTAGTTGCAAGCTTGAATTTGTGAGGGCGTCAATTTCAAAAGCTTGTGGACTCATAACTTATTATTTGTTTGATTGGTGGTTTATTTTATATATTTCTTGGATGCGAAATCTAACAACAATAATCAACCAACAGCTGAACAAAAAAGTACAGTTATGAGTCAACAAGTGTTTTAAAATTGATACCTTCATCATTTTCCGTTTGTGATTATGCCCGTTTTTTTTTTAGTGCAGTAGATCAAAGCGTAAGATTAAGACCAGTAGACAGTTTAGATCACGCTATTGTGAGGAAGGGAAGTCTTCATTATTTCAGCTTTCGATTACATTTATCTACCAAATTGTTACAGTCATAATCTGTTCTTCCAATCACAAACCCTGCTTTACTACAGTGGGTTCTTCTATCAAACTATTGTTAAATATCAGTACAATAATATCCCTTTCTGGTGGATCACTACCTTGTAGTAGCTAGAGAGCTTGTGTGCCTCAGTGACCCTAAGAGCTACTCCTAAAGTAATAAATGACTTGAAAAATGCCCCATGGAGTGGAAACTGATCATTAACAGAATGATGACAGTGAGACTAAAGGGAAATCACACCAATACAAGCATCATCCATTACTACGCCCCTCTTAACGACAGTGAAAAGGGAAGCAAGGATTCTCTTTATCAACAGCTGCAGAGGGAATTGACAGGTATACCTCGTCACGACCTTATGGTTGTAATGGGCGATCTGAATGCTAAAGTAGGAGAGAACACCAACTATGAGAGAGAGATGGGACAGCATGGTACGGGTACAAGAAATGAGAACGGTCAAAGAGAAGTGGACGTCTGCGCATTGAACACTTTGGTAATAGGCGGAACCCTCTTCCCACACCGTACAATCCAAAAACTGACCTGGAATTATTCAAATGACGGGGACAAGAACCAAATTGACCACCTTATTTTAGGAGGAATGTGGAGACGTTCTCTACAGGATGTGAAAGTCAAAAGAAAAGCAGGTGTCGTCAGCAGTCACCATCTTGTGACGGCAAGGATAAAACTCAAGGTGAAGAAAACATTCACCAGGGAGGCGACGAGGACGCAATTTAATGTTCAAAAGCTCAGTGATGATAATGTGAGATCTGTCTCCGACTAGAACTAAAGAACCGATTTCAAACTCCCCAAGACCTGGAACAAACCACCCCCAATACAGATTAAGTCAATAACCAATGGAAGCATATTTTTGTTGAGGCCTACACAGAGAGCAGTAAGACATGTCTTCTTGTCAAGAAACGAATGCAAGCAAGGAACATGGAACTGTTGAAAAGACGGAGAGAAATCAAGAAAATACAGCTTGCAGCTAAGTCGAAACGGCTACAAGAAAAGTACGCCGAGAATTACAAGGAAGCTTTCCAAAAAGTTAAAAGAGTGGTCAGAAAGAGAAATGGAAAAGTTGGCAACTGAGGCAGAGGAGGCACCTGCTAAAGGAGAACAAGGCAACGTATACAAGATCACAAGCATAATATGTGGCAAGTACCACGGTGGAATGATTGGACCAATCAAAGACAAGACTGGCAAGCTGCTGACAATCGAGAAGGAACAGGAAGCATGCTGGACAGAACACTTCAGGGAAGTCCTAAACCAACCTCCACCTGAGGACACCCCAGACATACAAGAAGCTACCTTAGATCTGGATAACAGCTCTGACCCTCGACAGAGACACGAGATTGTAAAAGCTGTTAAGAGCCTGAAATCAGGAATATCTCCAGTAAAGGACAACCTGAATGCTGAATTGTTTAAAGTAGACCCTGAACAGACTGCCACCGTTCCTCAGCCACTATTCAAAACCATCTGGGAGGGAGAGCAGATTCCTGAAGACTGGAGCACTGGAGTCATTCTTAAGGTACCAAAGAAATGAGCTTTTGGAGACTGCAACAACTGGAGAGGTATCACGTAGCTATCAGTACCCAGCAAGACCCTGGCCAAGATTATTATTAATCGAATGTCGGATGCCGTGGACAGCTGCTTAAGAAAATAACAGACACGATTTTGCAAAGAAAGAAGATGCACAGATCAGATATTTGCCCTGCGCAACATAATAGAACAGTGCACGGAATGGCAGAAACAGCTTAATGTCAACTTCGTTGATTATGAAAAAGCGTTCGACAATGTGCATAGGAAAAGTCTTTGGTACCTTCTATGATCTTACGGAATCCCTTGCAAGATAGTTGAGGTAATCAAGAGCTTCTACCAAAACTTCAAGTGTGTCGTTGGAAACAGTACTACTGCTTTTGAGGTAAAGACTGGAATTAGACAAGGACGCAACATGTCAACAATTCTGTTCAACCTTGTCATTGACAGAGTCATGAGGAAAACAACAGAGGACACACCAAGAGGCATAAGGTGGACCATCTTCTCCACCCCCTAGGATCTTGATTTTGCCGACGAACTTGCACTACTCTCCCATACCAACCAGCACATGAAGGTAAAAACAAACCGACTCCACCAATACGGACGCCAGATTGGGTTAAGAATAAGACAAATTTACCTACCTAGGCAGCAAATTTAAAATTGACGACGGCACAAAGGAAGACATCATGAACAGAATCAGCAAGGCAGGATCGGTTCACAGAAGCATGATCAACATCTGGAAGTCGGGTCAGTTCAGTATACAGACTGAGTGAAAGCTGTATAACAGCTATCCACACTCCTATATTGATCTGAATGGTGGAGGATAACTGATCATGATCGTGCCAAGCTATCTTCTTTTTATACAACCAGCTTACGCCATATCCTCAGAATCTTCTGGCCAGACAAGATTTCCAATGCAGGTATTTGACGGAAATGTAGGCAAGAGGACATGACCACCAGAATAACAACGAGAAGATGGAGATGGATTGGGCATGTCTGAGAAGAGAACCAGACGTTATTGTAAAGATTGCCGTCCACTGGACACCCGAGGGACATTGCAAGAGGGGCAGACCCAAAGTGATCTGGTGATGCACAGCAGAGTCTGAAATAAAGTCCTGGAACCATTCGTGGGGGACGTTAACCAAGATGGTCCAAAACAGACAGAGCTGGAGATTCTTTGTTTCTGCCTTAAACGCCAGATGGCGTAACGGGTAGTAAGTAAGTAGAATAATATCCAAAATATGATGTAAATGGCGGAGCTGAACAAGTGACTATATCCACTTTTTATCGAATTGGAGTAATCAATAGGGGTAAAGAGATTATACGCCGCTCTTCTGTAAATACCTAAGCCGTAGCATAATTCATTATCGAGATATTAACGGTTTTTTTGTTTGTTTGTTCTTTTAAAAATATTTTTAAAACTATATATTATAAAAATAAAAATATCGTCAAAATTTCAAACTCTTTTTTTTTAATCGAAAGTATGAAAAGTGGATAATATAGTTACTTCTTGAACGTCGATGTGTTTGGGAAGTGTGTACTTTGGAAGTAAAGAGACTCACCAACTGCAGACGCTGACAGAAGCAGGGAAAAAACGAGGAACCACATCTTGGAGATAGGCAATACTTTCCCTCTTCTCGATCTCCCAAAAAACTTTTTGCTTTATAAGGATACATTTTTTGTGGGCCGATGTTTTTGATAAGGAATTCAGGAAATGGGGCATAGAGGGCACATAAATTGGGGATTTGAGTCAACATAATATGGGAAAATGAGAACAGGTAGTAGGAATTTAGAACTTAAAAAAAATAATGAACATTTTTGACCGAAAGATAGGAGATAGGACGCAGAAGATTCAACCTTGTTTAACTTAAAACTAAGGCCTGTTTCTCCTTCTTCACCGTCATTACAAAACTGTTTTCTATCGATAGCAAATAAGAAAGTGAAAAGAATAAAAATGTATTTTTTGAAGACCCACAACGAAATAATTTATCAGAACTTTTATTACTGCACTTGTAAGAATCCATCCCCATCTTATACGTCAGCTAAATTGGGATGTAGATCTAATATTACATAAGTTTACACGCGTTATGTCCTTGGAAATACTGAATTCTACATACGTTTAATTGTTTCTTTTAAAAGTATAAACTCAGAGATCCCACATCTTAAATTACCTAATAGTGTTGATAGGTCCGTTAAAGATACATCTTTTCACCGACCATTTCCACCAAACAGGGATGCAAAAGATACACCTTCCCAGCAGAAAGACCCTCACAATCCATAACAATTCTTCGCAAAACGACCGTGAATGGCTTATTGGGCGTTTCATTATTTACTATATTATGTGTCACGAGGTGGTGGAAGCATACACTCGTACATTTGCAGGCATGTGGGGTTATTCGTATCATCATAAAGCGATATTATTCGTTATGATTTTAATGAATAAATACGCATTTTTCTGGAATAGAAATTGAGCTATTAGCGATTGAAGGAGGTGGAAGTTGCCTGGTTTCAGATATAGAATTAGTGAAAAAATGATTTCCAAAATTTGTTGATTTCTGTTACTTGACAATGTTTTCAAAGTGAAAATGTTACTTTTTTGTGCTATGAATCAACGGTTTACAGTATAATCTAAACAGAAATATGTTTTAAGGGGTGGAGAGGGGGTGGGGGTGGGGAGGCTACACTCCAAAAGTCCCTATTGGGCTCAAAACTATGGATTTTAAGTTGCTTAGCTTCTTCAACCTCTTTTACAAC